AACTACATGTTTGCTAAAACTAATTAACCCAGTGCAAACTACAATAGTCTCAATTAAGCTGTGGTGTTGTAGATATAGTTACTGAATGATTACTTTGACTGCTTTGTCTGCCGATGATAAATCTACTCCGATTGTTTTGCTTTCTGTGACACGTTTCCTTGTCATTATTTAGAACACAAACTGAGAACAAACTGATTAGGACATTCACTTCATTAAACCTAAACTGGATAAGTTGATTAGATTACCTGCTATATTAGCCAGTGCTGCTTAAAGACGCCTGCTCCACATTTCTGCAGACTAATCAGAGAAGGAGAGAGAATTATAAAACTTGATTACAGCTTCAAAAATTTGCATCCCTCCTGCAGCTGATTATGTTTTTCTTTTTTTTTTTTCTCACACCACAAGTGGTTTTAATCAGCGTCGTAGTCAGAATCGGGGAGGTGAATGGAATTATGCGGCCGCTGCCCTCCGGACATCAGGGTTTTTGGTTCCTCCTGCTCAATTTCAGGGCTTTATTTTAAACATAATGTCTTGCTTGCCCCGAGGGCACCTTCTATCGTAGTAGTTAACAGGATTCCCTCTCTGAGAGGCAAACTGTGTTGCAATATCAGCATTGTTATTTCGGTGTATCTATCCATGTATGTGTGCAAATTAGGATCAAATTATTTCCATTTTTGTTTGTGCTGCTGTATATGTGTCTGAGTGGGATATCACTTACAATAAATAGGTCCCAGTGGTGAACTGAAGCAACACTAAAGCTGAGTAGTCTTTTCTTTTTTAATCATTTGTGCTCTGGGCTGTGAGACAGATGAAAACAGAACAGAACAAAACAAATCTTGGGTGTTGGAAACCACCATCAGCTCAGTGTCAAAACAGCAGTGCTGTTTTTTCCATTATGGAGAGCTCCTTTTTTCATACATTTTTTGCAGGGAAGTTCTGCTGTCTTCTGCCTCACAAAGTGCAATGTGATAGCAGCAGGATATTATCTTTATTCCATATCTTGAAAAACGGCTAAAAAAAAAACCCTCTTGAATAGATCAATACTTGGTAGCACAAGGTTTTAAAATGTAAACGAAAATGATAGATGGTTTAAAATAAGTTTTAATAGCCCCCTTTTTATCTAATACATTCACCCATTCATGTCCATATTTCTCCAGCAGGGTTGTGAGAAGACAGCTTTATCTGATGCCAATTGGAGGCAGGTTGAATTAAACCCACCCATTTCTAATTCTATCTTACTATATGCAGCTGTTGCAAATGCCTCAGAAATTTAATCAGAAAGCATTGTAAAAAAAAAAATGGAATCTTGAAGCCCAATTATTTCTTAATAATTTCTCAAAAACAGCATCATGACAACCGAGGAATGCAGCTGACAATTCAGGAATAAAGTTGTGAAAAAGCTGGCTGTAAAAGAATGTGCAAGCTGTAAAAATCTAATAAAGCACTGTACTGTACATGCAACTGTGACAAATCAGAAACACTACGGCTCACATGCAAACCTGTTAAGACATTGCAATTCCCCTAAACTCAAAGGCGGAACAAAGAGAGCACAGATAAATGAAGCAGTCATGAGGAGCCCTATGGATGTGCTACAGGATCCACAAATCAGGCTGGGGAAGATATCGACAGGACAGCTTTTCATGCATATTCCACAAATCTGTCATTTATGAAAGAATACAAAGGGCAAAGCCTTTGTAGCCATAAATCCATAGGAAGCCTCCTTGGCAGTTTACCAAAGCCAGTGCAGGGACACAGCAAATATGTGTGGAATATGTACTCTGCTCAAAAGAAATATAGGGAACACTTAAACAACACAATATAACTTCAATCAAATCAAATTAGGAAGAAATACTGATTGACAACCAATTTCACTTGGTGCTGTGTAGATAATAATAATAATAATAATAACTTTGATTTATATAGCGCCTTTCAGGACACCCAAGGTCACTTTACAAGAGGTGAAGTAAGGGGGGTAGGGGCAGGGAGGGGGTTAGGAAGGGTAGGCAAGAGAGAAAAGGTGTGTTTTAAGGTGCTTTTGGAACTGTGTCAGGGAAGTTGCGGAACGGATAGGAGGGGGGAGGTCATTCCAAAGAGCCGGGGCCACTGCACGGAAAGCCCTGTCGCCAAAGGTCTTGAGTCTGGTACGGGGGATGGAAAGTAAGTTCTTGCTGGTGGAGCGCAGGGACCGTGACTGAGTGAGCGGGTGAAGAAGGTCAGTGATGTACTTGGGTGCCAGAGAATGAAGTGCTTTGTAAGTGAGGAGGAGGATTTTGTAGCTGATGCGTTGTTTGATTGGCAGCCAATGGAGTTTCTTGAGGATGGGGGTGATGTGCTGCCAGGGCTTGGTGTGGGTTAACACCCTGGCAGCTGAGTTCTGGACGTACTGCAATCTGTCTAGGGCTTTGTTGGGCAGCCCAGACAGGACACCATTGCAGTAGTCCAGACGGGAGGTGACAAATGAATGAATGAGAGTTTCGGTGACTGAGTCGGTAAGTGACGGCCGGAGTCTTGAGATGTTACAGAGGTGAAAGAAGGCAGATTTAGTGATGCTCTGGATGTGGAAACTGAGTGAGAGTGTGGAGTCCAAAATTACACCCAGGTTCCGCACTTTGGGCGATGGGGAGGTGGGACAGCCATCAATGACCAAGGTGAGGTCTCCAACCTTCCAGAGCAGAATAGACAACATGTAAAAACTAGACACTCATTAAAGGAGTGCTTCTGCAGATGGGAATGACAGACCACTTCGCAGTACCGTTGCTTTCTGGCTGATGTTTTGGTCATTTTTGAATGTTGGTGATGCTTTCACACTAGTGATAACATAAGAAGGACTCTACAAACTACACAAGTGGTTCAGGAAGTGCAGCTCATCCACGATGACACATCAATGCGAGCTGTGACAAAAACGTTCGCTGTGTCTGTCAGCATAGTGTCCAGAGGCTGAAGGTGCTATCAGGAGACAGGCCAGTACACCAGGAGATGTGGAGGAGACCATAGAAGGGCAGCAACCCAGCAGCAGAACTACTGCTTTCACCTTTGTGCAAGGAGCAACAGGAGGAGCACTGCCAGAGCCCTGCACAATGACCTCCAACAGGCTACAAATGTGCATTAATCTGCATAAAAAAAACCGACTTCATGAGGATGGTATGAGGGCCTGAAGTCCACAGATGGGGGTTGTGCTTACAACCAACCACAGATCAGGATGCCTCGCATTTGCCAGAGAATACCAAGATTGGCAAATTTGCCACTGGCACCCTGTGTTTTTCACAGATGAAAGCAGATCCACACTGTTTTGGCATAGAGTAATGGTGTGGAGTGGTATTTCTTTAGAGAGCCACACAGCTCTTAAAGTGCTCGCCAGAGGTAGACTGCCGAGATGAGATCAGGATGTAATCATGAGACCATTTGCTGCTGCGCCTGGCCCTGGGTTCCTCCTAATGAAGGACAATGCTAGACCTCATATGGCTGGAGTGTGTCAGCAGCTTCTGCAAGATGAAGACATTGAAACTATGTACTGCCCGCCCATTCCCAAGACCTGAATCAAATTGAGCACATCTGAGACATCATGTCTTGATCCATCCATCAACGTCACTTTGCAGCACAGACTTTCCAGGAGTTGGTGGATGCTTTAGTCCAGATCTTGGAGGCGATCCCTCAGGAGACCATCCACCACCTCATCTGGAGCATGTGGCTTTGTGACTGTTGAATTTTGCTAAGTACCTACATTTGCATATCCCCCACTGCTCATTATACTTCCATTATATCATCAGAAAATATAAGGCACACACGCTCAAAAAAGTTTGCATTTCTTGTCTGCTGAATTGCACAATGAAATTACTCTGAACTCTGTATGAAGATCTGCTCTGTTCTCACCTTTTCAAGATCAGTCCCTCTATGTGGTGGAAAACTAAACACAAGCTATCCCCCAAGTTAAACATGGTGGTGGTACCGTTATGGGATGGTTTTCTTCTGCAGGGATAGTTACCTGGTCAAAAATGATGAGTCGATGGATCTAAAGACGAGGAAATCATAGAAGAAAACTTGTTAGAGACTGAACTGAAAAGGAGTTTCACTCTCCAGCATAAACTGAATACAAAGTACAGTTATATTTCAGATTTGTATCACTGGAACTATAATCCAATTATCAATTTCACAATTATACTTGAACCTTGTGGCTGTAATCTGACAAAAAATGAAGGTTCAAGTCTGATAAGTCCATTTTTTTACATAACAGCACCATTGTCTAACACCCTTTGAAGAGACAGCCTTTTGGCTTCTCCTAAAACTTTCAGATGAATCTTCTGAAAACAATCCATTGAAAACTTATGCATGAGCCTTGGAAAAAAAAAACTTTGGTAATTGTGACATAACGAGAAGAAGCTTCAACTTTTAGGGGTCTCATTCTATTTTCAGATTTTGTCAATCTGCTTTGAGCTCCATAAAGAGAGTTTGGCTGAAACTAAATGTGTTTAAAGTCCCTATGTAACTGTCTCCCATGACTCTTCACTGATATAACTGGCTAAGTGATATATAAGCTGAGGCCCCTTAATCACTGTCCAACCATTTCTTTAGATGTTTCAAGGCAATAAATGTCAGTTATATCCCATTTCTTAGTCTCTCTCACCTGGAAACCTATGCAATCGTAGGACATTAATCATTCTCTGTGTCATTCAGGGCAATAAATGCAACAGAGGCATCCAGTTTCCATGGATTTAGCATTTAAAGATCAGACAGATTTATATGAAACCATCGTTTAATCCTCTACTCTCCCTCCCCATCTACACCCTCCCATCTTATTTGCTCATTTACCACAGGGGCTTGTTTTCAGACCATCCTAAACAGAAATGTGACAATAGAAGCTCAGGGTTCTTATTGCAATCAGTAATGCAAACAAAGGTCAAAGCAACAGTGTCCAGAAGATGGATGATGCAAATATTTCTGTTTCCCCAAGGATCAACACAGTGATCCTCTCCTCCATTCTGTGTCCTCCTTTCCCATCACAGAGCCCCACTTTATCTCAGCCTACGACATCGGCCTTTTTACCTTCTTCTTCCTGAGGGAGAACGCGGTGGAACATGACTGCGGCAAGACAGTCTATTCCCGCGTGGCTAGAGTCTGCAAGAACGACATCGGCGGGCGGTTCCTCCTGGAGGACACCTGGACCACGTTCATGAAGGCTAGGCTCAACTGCTCGCGCTCTGGAGAGATCCCTTTCTACTACAATGAGCTTCAGAGCACTTTCTACCTACCTGAGCAAGATCTCATCTACGGCATCTTCACCACCAATGTGTAAGTGAATAAACCCCATAACAAATTATTTGGAATTCAGCAAGTTACTCATGTTGTTCTACTCTTCATATTTGTAAGCTGTATGCTTCCAGTCTTTCCTATAATTAACTGTACATTGAGGTGAGGTCATCATTTGAAATTATTTTAAGATGATATCAAAAACCAATTAATCAGCTATTAAGATATCTATGAGTTTTGGTTGATCTGTAGACTTAAGTTTAACCTGTGACATGATGGTATATCTAGTGTTACTATGAAGACTATCTAGATAGGTTTGCTTCCTTTTTATCATTTACTGTAGGACTATATCTGTTGGAAAACTGAAATACAGATGAAATCTTTGGGAGGTTTTGTTTTTGGCTCCATTTTCTGTGCTTCATCTGCTTCTTTTATATATTTGAACATATTAAAGCTTAGATCTTCTTACAGTGACACCACTTTTCTCCAATTGAGAATGGATGGGAAGGAGGTTTTTTATTACCTTTATATTATCATTTAAAACTAATGTGAAAGGTTTGTTGCGGTTTTCCCAGATTGACAAGTTGGTTTGTTTCTACTGTATCTGTATTATGTGGAGTCAGTAGTCTTTTTTTTTTAAGAAGTTTATTTTTATGTCATTCTTTTTTTGTGTATTTCATGGTCATCTTACAGTGAAGCAACATTCCTTATTTAACTTGAAAGGCGGTATTTATATAGCTTTTTCCTTATCTTCTCATTTATCTACTCTAGGGTCTGTAATGCAAATTAAACAGGAGCAGAAATAAGCCTAAATGAGTTTTTTCATTTGTGACGTTAAGAAGTTCTATTTACTTTGGTTGAATAAGGTATCTGAAGTAAGAAAGTTTGTTAGCTTTCAGCGTTACAATATAATTTACATGCTCATTTTGACATAAATGAAGAAATATATTTTTATTTGTTTGCATACTGTATTGTACATGCACACTCCTGCAGCAAACCTCAGCCAGAGATTGCTTCCAGATTTTCCAGATGGCATGTTTTTTTGCCAAATTGCTATAGACACTGTTTCATCTTCATTTTTGCCCTTTATATTGACTGAAAGACAGGAGTACACAGACAGACAGACAGACAGACAAAAGGAAAGACAGACAGACAAAAGGAGAAACGCTATCTGTTTTGAATAGAATGCAGAGAGAAAATGTAACAGCAACAGTTAAAGTTGAACACGGGTTAAGTTGTCCCCAGAAAAAAAAAAAAAAACTATGATTTTAGTTAAGATTATTTAAAAATGTCACAGTGAACATAAAAACAAAATGTTAACTTGAACCAAAATGTTGTCCATGTGTTTTCCAGTGAGCATGTTGAGCATTTGCTCTCTTATTTTTTAATTCACTATTAATATGGAGCTGTCCGCGGTGCTGAAGAAACTGATGCACCCTCCTGTTCTGAAATGCCAATAACTTTGTCTTGGCACATTCTGATCTAAAGACTTTTCAAATGATATTGAGCCTAAGACCTTCGTAACATAGAATCAGCTTTATGGTTAGAGTAAGAAATAGTAGAGCCTAATAAAGCTACTTGTTTTAGAAACCTGCCACTGCCTGCAGCTGTCAGATATCGATTATTTAATATTCCCATGATAACTGTGTTGCACCAGAGCGTATCTTCAATTAAATACTTTATAGGAAGCATGACCAGTTTGACAATTGTTTAATGTTATCTGAAATCAGAGCATATTAATCCAACCGAGAATATAAAACATATGTTTACATAGTGGTTACATGCTATTTCTGCTCAACAAACAATATTAGCCCCGCACAAAATATGCACTAAGCTGGAAAACTTGTAATTATATACTAAAATAGCAGTTAAAGCAGAGGATTTGAAGCACTGAGATGATATTTACTTTTATATGATAATGTTGCAGACATACATCTGTTTGTTTTCTTCCAATAGAAACTCTAAGCTCCAAATCCAACTGATCCAGTTAAAAATCTCCAGTGTTATAATTGTTCTAATATTTTTCAACACTACTGGCACTTTTGGGAAGATAATCACTTAAAGAAAATTTAAAATAAGCAAAATTGATAGTTCATTTCTGTGTTGATTAGGGTTCTCTACAATGAAGTATAGTATAGTTTTAAAAAATGCAACAAAACACAACTGGCATTGAAAAAAAAAGTATCCATAATGCACTTCTTTTTAAACTTTTTTTTTTTTTTATCTAGATATGTGTCTCTGCATTGTGGCTCTTCTGCATCACAAGTTCCTATCTCTACAAAACAATCATCCAGATCTGATGGAAAAAAATCTCAGCAATGTTTAAGACTTTGGAAAGTGTAATTGCTGATAATTGCAGAAAGCAATGGGAAAAAGGGCATTTATTGAAATTTTATAAATTGGATAAAAGTTCCACAAATCCCAAACTAGCTTTTAGAGTTTCTACTACTATATTAAAGAATAATATAATATTGGCTTGAAAAGTCGTAAGAACTGTTATTTTAACTGGCAGGTTTAGATGTGGTCCTGAACGGAAGTATTAAAATAGGCATTTATGAAATTTTCCCAAATGACATTAAACTTTAACAAATCCCAAACCGTGTTTGATATAGTCTAACATAATTAAGGTTTGAAGGGTCAAATAATACACATTTTAAAACTAGAGTGGATTAAATACAGACAAAAGTCATTAAATAGCTCTTTATAAAGGTGTTTCCCGATTCAAAAGCACCAGTCGGAAGACAAATTCAACTTTGTGCGTCCGTTATTGTGGATGACAGGCCGATGGCAGCTATCCCAATGCTAACACCATCCCATCTCTGCTAATGGACAGCTGAGAAAGTAGGCAATCCAGTGAGTTACCAGTGCTGGATGCTCAGTTACCAATGCCAGCCTATCATTAATCAGATTAGTAGCGCACCATATTTTAAAATATGTTGGAGGAGGAGCTGTTTTCTGAATTCCATAATGCTCTGAGGCTTTTAATGTATGATCTGTACATGCTTCTTTGGGTTTTGCAAACAGAGGAGTGGACTCAACTTAGTTTTCTAGGGGGGAGATGTTTGCAGCACAGCTGAGCGGAGCTTGACTAAGCATAAATTAGGAGAAATTCATGCATATTTTATAGGGATGCACAATATAATCGGCCCCCTATCGGTATCGGCCTGTATCGGCCTTAAAACTGAATATCGGACATCGGCCACCCCACCGATATTTAACCCGATATTTGATCAGCTTCTGAGTTTCTAAAGTCTAAAAAAAAACTCCTTTAAAAAAAACTACTTCTTCTTCTTCCTCAAAAACTTCTTTTTTACAGACTTAAAAACTTCTAAAGACGAGGGAAAAAATATTGATACATTAAAATATCACAATATCTTCATATGCTGATATATTGCCATTTAAAAACACCATATCAATCTCTTTTACTAATGAAATATTGCTATATGTCATCGTTATGCTACGAAATCCCCCGAAAATTCACAAAATGTTGCCATATTTTAATATGTTGATATATTGACGCGGTATCGATCTATTTTACTAACAAAATCTCACAAGATTTTGCAAAATATCACGAGAGTTTGTAAGAGAACGATGAAATTTCACGAGATTTTGAAAGTAAAATAGATCGATACCGCGTTTTTTAAAATCAATTTGATATCAGCATATGAAATTATATTTGAGTATATTATTTTTCAAAGTGTCTGAAATGGATAACAAAACTGCTATTTTTAATGACCACTTATTTTTGTCCAGCTTTAGCATCGGTATCGTTATCGGTTATCGGCTACATGAGTTTTAAAATATCGGCATATCGGATATCTGCCAAAATCCCAATATCCTGCATCCCTAATATATTATATACATATTACAGAGTAAGAAGAAAGGATAGGACAGAACTCAGCTCTTCACCTACACCTGAAGGCTAAAGGACACTCCTTTGAGGACAACAATGTCCATATTCTTGCAAAGGAAAAAAGATGGTTTGAGAGAGGGGTTAAGGATGTCATCTTTGTTAACCTTGAAAAACCATCTCTCAAAAGAGGAGGTGGTCTTAGACATAACCTTTCACACACCTACAAGGCACTTTTAGGAACAATACCCAGAAGATTCACCTCTGACCTGCCCTTCCTTGACTCATACTTCAATGAGACATGTGACCAAAAACAACTCTGATGAGGGAGTTAACGGCTCATCAGAAGCCGCTAAAGACCATTAAAACCACCCATGTGACCTCTTTGGCCAATTCAGTGGGAGGGTTCAAAGCCACCTTTAGTGTGCCTAATTACTTGTTAAACCTACAGTATATTAATCTCAGTGCTCCCCACCACTAGTTAGAACTGAAGAAGCCTCTTGGATTAGAGGCAAAACGTCTCGTAGAAAACTTAATGTCCAATTGCCTTGACTGAACTTTTTCAAGGTTGATTATGACCTGGATGAGTGGGAATCTTCACAGATATATAAATGTGTAATTCTGCTTTGTAGCAGTTAGCTTTGTAATAAGGATCACCCAGTTTGTCTGGCTGTAACTGCAGCCTTCACAATAAAAGAGCATCATGTTTTTTTGGTTTCGAATATCCAGTCACAGCATATTTCTCTTTAAACCTTTTCATTGCTAACCTACCTGCCAAAAATACTTTTTGGAGATCTAAAATAATCGGAATCAAGGGTTTTATTAATCCTCTGAACAAAGCCATATTCTCAGTGGGCACAAGAGCAGGAAAATTGGGCTGAAGTTTTCTTCCCTTCATTCACATTCTGTTGAAATGTGGAGCAGTTATCTAGTCACAACAAGCTAGCTTCAAGGAGACGCATCAGAAATTTCATTGTTTGCCATGATAACAAGTTTTTGCATAGTGTTCCACTAAATTTGCAGGTCTCATGACTATAAACTTTGGTAACACTCACACACACACACCCCCCACACACACACACACACTCATTCTTCTAGGTGCTGAAAATGCTTTCCTGGGAAACCAATTTAATGAGAGTTTTGTAATAACAAGATGTCAGTTTCTGGGATTTAACAGCACTACATATCCCCA